TTCCTCGGAGAAAATGAACTGGACAAATAGCACACAAAACCCGAAAATCTCCTCCACCAATTGTTGAAAAACAATGGTGCCTCCCTTAGCTGTACTTCTGCCCACAGGCTCTCTAAGGAGCTGCTGGCAGGGAAGGAAAATAGAGGACTATTCCCCACCTAAAGCACATCAAACTTTTAATCAAAACCTGCTTTTCTTTGTGAAACTAAGCAACTGCTATTTCACACCCACATATTGTGGAGTGCATTCAATTACCCTCAAAGACTTTGCTTAAAATGAAAATGCTTTGCCTCCTGAGGACAGTGTGAGAGGATTGATTAATGTTGTTCCCTAAAGAACAGAAGTGTGGGTACACAGCAAAAAGCCAAGGAGCTGGAAACTACTGCTGGGCCATATTTTACACGCAATTCAAACCTACATGTAAATATTTTTAAAAGAATCAGGACCTGTTAGGCAACTGGCTATATCAAGGGACATACTATGCCATCTTTTCCTCTTTTGATGATAATCATGGAATTAGAAGACAAAGAAGACAGCCAGAAGCAAGGAAGAAAGACCACGTTTTGCCATATGGTTTTTCAAGAGGAGAGGAAACAGCTACTATTTTTTTTTTTCTGACATATTGTTCCAAAGGAGCTATAACTAACAAACCAAGCCAGAACGTCACTGAGTTCTGTAGCTCTGTGACTCAGAAGTCACTTTCGATCCAACATATTAAATGTCAAGTCAAATATCTCCGATAAGAAAGAAAATAATTCTTGGGGAAGTTCGGCCCAGAATGAGTGCCTCTCCTGTGCAAATGAGCCCTCTATTTTGCTGCTGTCTTGTAGGTAGCATGCCAACCTTTAAAGAAACATCTACCCAAGTCCTCATAGAGAAGCATAAAGCATGAAGACTACACCTTTGTCCCTCAAAAGTACCTCCCCCCACCAGAAACTCATAGTGTCTATTTGATTAAAAAAGAAAAAAACAGAAAGAAACACAGACAAAAAGCAGGAAAAATAGGAGAGAAAAAAATTGGAGTGACCCAGAGTGGATATCTAGGAGACCAGCCAGGAGTCAAGGAGGCGACCCATTTTTATGCATGTGTAGCAGTATGCAAAATGTGGAGACTAAGAGTTCTGGTCAAACCCGTAATATACCAAAATGTACAAACTGCTGAGTAATCCTAATCAAAAAAGGGAGTATCTATCCATCATGTATCATTTACTCTCACTTTACAGTGCTCTAAGATTAGAATCCCTGATGCCAAAAAGTGATTTAATATTTAAAGTTAGTTCTTGCACAGTTAGGAGAAAGAAGGGGTTGGGGAAAGAGGGAAAGAACTATATGAAGAGTACTCTTCACTTCTCCTTTTTACAACAGATTATTTTCTTTAAGAACAGTATAAGCTATGATTAAAGTGGCAATATAATTGCTGAATTTTTGTGCCTTGAACACCTGCAAAGGAAGCGCGTTGACAAGAAACCCTTGGCAACCCAATTATTTCATGTAGATTTTCCTCCACCCAGAAAGCCATCCTCAAAATAGAATGGAACTTGTTCCCCTTTGCCATTTTGGTAGGCGCGTATGGCAAAGTAACCAAGAACCTAACTAATATTGTCATTCTTCTCAACAACAACAAAAAATTAAATAAGATGCAAGCAGTTGAACACCTATCTTCCAAAGTTGAACTATATGAATTATTTAATTATGCATTCTGCTTATATTTTATCATGTCTTTTTTTTTAAGATTTATTTATTTATGCACATAAGAACTGGAGTACACGCCAGAGGTACGGGGGTGAGAGGATCCACCAGAGACAGAGTGGGGAGCAGAACTGGCAGATTGACTGGAATACCCTGCTGAGAGGAGCAGTGAGTAAGACAGGAGAGGTCTGCTGTGCCATGTGGGTCAGCTCCCTGGCCAAGGATAAAGTCTTGCTGCAGTGGCTGCCAATACTGAGACAACTGGTTGCTTCATACTGAGACTTAACCCCTTGCATCACCAGGGAGAGCCCCTATTTATCATGTCTTGATGAATGACTAAAAGAAACAAGACATGTCCCAGAGAGCTAAGAGATCTGTTTCCAAACCAGATTAGATAAGTGACCTTTCCACTTTTGAGGAACATTTTAACTCAACTACGAAATAAATGGGAAAATAAACAATAACTAGGGAGAAATAAATCGAGGGACACTTTTTCCTGAGGAGGCTAAAACCTTAAATATTTTTAAAAATAGCAGTAAGCCCACTTCTTTATATATTTTTAACTAAAGACATTTAGAATATGAGAAGTTAACATTTGCAGGGCCCTCTTAAAAATGGAGCTAGGGGGCCCTCCCTGGTGGCGCAGCGGGTTAAAGCACAGCACTGAGAATCTAAAGCCGCTTCCTCATGAGTTCAATTCCCGCCTGCCCCGGAGGTGACCACATGGCGTGGCAGACCTCTCCTGACCCGCCCGCTGCTCCCCTCAGCAGTGTATTTCATTGATCTGCCTGTTCTGCACTCCACCCTGTCTCTGGTGAATTCTCCCACCCTCCACATCTCTGGCCTGTATCCCAGTTCTGTATGCACAAATAAAATAAAATCTTTAAAAAAAAAAAAAAATGGAGCTAGGTAAAAACTGCATTATCTGTCATGTTTGTTCTGGGCCAAAGACCTTTAGACTGGTCCCAAAAAAGCAACTGTTTACAGAAACCATCAAACAATTGTTTGTGAAGTCACCTGGATCACAAGGACAGATAACAATGGAGTTTTTACCAAAGAAGAGAATCAGTAACCAAGTATGTATAGCCAAGAACATTTTAGACTTGTTAACACTAATTTTTTTTTATAACTACTTATTTCATCTCCTTTTTCTTCCAGAAAACCCTACTTTATCCCTTCTTGGGGAACATTGTAGGTACTATGCAAATCTGCATACCTCAAATACAATGTTTTTAATATCAAATACATTCGCTTTGCCTTTTTTAATGATTTCGTAAGTTTTTAGGGTAGGAAATTACCCACAATAGTTTGAAGTAGAAAGGCTTTTATATTTTTTACATATTTGTGTCTCAGAAGTGAGCATTTACTAGGCGTCACCAGCAGCAATGCAATCCTTTCCATTAAGAACAACTCTGTAGACAGAATTCTACCTGAAATGGATTACCAGGTAACCACATGTGCAAAAGAAATCACAAGTCCAAATACATTCTTGTCATCACTCCAGACCGGGGAAAGATTAGCATGGATAGAGGACTGGTTTGGGAAGGTTTCCAGGTGATATTCCTTGACCTAAATGTGCAAGGATGAAGGGCATGAATCATAGGAAGGAGAATGGGGACAGTGCAGGTGAAGGAATCAGCAGTCAGAGGAACAGGAATGGGTTATAACAGATTACAATAAGAGAACAGCTGAGGCTAAAGACTCAGGACAGATGAGTGAAAATTAAAGGTACCAGTATCACATGTTCATAGTATGCAAATATTGCCTTTCTATGCAAATATTGCCTTTCTTTGTCTCTTTTAATTTTAATAAAACTGAGCCCCTGTCTCCACCACATAAACTACCCCTCTTCCCTGGTGGATCTCCCACTGTCTCCTGGCTTTGAAGCAACTTGCATATTGATGATTCCCACTTCTCCATCTTCATCCCAGACTCTCCTCCAACTCCAGGTTCATATGTGCAGCTGCTTACTTGACATGTCTGTCCGGGTGTCTAAAGGATATCTCAAACTCAACATGTTTACAGACTCCTGATTTCCATCCATTCCCCTCAAAGCAAAAAAACTAAACAAAATAACTCATCCTTCATCTTCCTTCAAAATATTCAGATACAGACCACTTCTCACACTCCCACTTCAATTGCCCATCTAAGCCACGACTTCCCTCCTGGACACTACAGCCATCATCTAGAGTGGTGCATGTGAACTTCCTCTCCAGGGACCTTCTGAGTCTATGCAGTCCAAACTTTTCCATTTGCAGAACAGTTTCCAGGTATCAACAGTGTTGTCTAAAGTGAAGACTAAGATTTAAGAGTGATTCTTGCAGGTGTCAACAAAAATGATGGAGCCAAAGAGTGGATGTGAAGAAGTGCAGGGCAGGGTGAAGGGTTTCAAAGGTGGGGCACCAGAAGGACAAAAGACATCCAGAGGGATAGTCAGAGGACAAAAGAACTTGAGCTCTTAGGAAATATCCATAAGTAGGTCAGCTGTCCCATCCCTGCTAATCTTTCCTGATTCCCAAGACCCGATTCAAGACCTTCACTATGGTATTGGTCACATTACTGGAAGCCTGTACTGAGCACCTCCCCCTCTGGGCTTTAAACTCATTTTGTGCCTCTGAAGCACAGGGAGCCTAGAAAGTCTCTGGGCAAATATGCATCAAGTGCAAATACCGTATCATGAAAACTGTGCTAAGTGCATGGAGAAGGAAGTGGCTGCATTCTTCTGGGAGAACAAAGTAAGACTACATAGGAAATGAGGTTTCAGAGATGGGGGCTGGAAGGAGAACTGAGTTTGTCCAAGAAGATAACACTGATGACCTAGAGTGGAACATCAGTGGTATGAAAAGAGTTCCAAGAAGAGGGAGTGGGGAAGGAAAGCAGGGGAAGAGATGGATGAGGAGGTGATACTGAACAGGTTTTAAAAACTGGGAAGCTAAAGAAAGCAGAGTGAAACAGTTTTTCTTTCCCCCAGGAGGTGGTGAAAAATGAGAGGGGATGTTTTTAAGAGAAACCAAGCCCAAGAGGGCGGGTTGGGGGTGATGGGTGTAAGGACCAGGCAGGTTTATACCTGCAGTTCATAATGTTTTCATTGCCAAGTACCAGGAAATTACTGAGCTCAGAAAGGAGGGTAGGAGGCCAGAGGTGCAACAATCAGAGGTTAAAATTGGACTATTCCATGAGGTATGAGCCAAGTTAATGAGGTAAGAAGAGCAGCACTGTCGAGTGTTATAAGACAAACCCAAGCTATTACTTCAGACCTAGAGGTTCCAATTAACTCTCTATTAAGTGGTGTTGGGGGCTCCACTTCTCACCTGCCAACCACCCTGCCAAAGTCTGCGAATTCAAGGAAAATTCGGCTGCGGAGTGGATCTTCAAGACGTGAGGAAGGCAGAGGAAAAGCAATTTGCAGTGGATAGCCATCCAGCTTTGTCCAAGACTCGAGGAGAAAATTGGAAGCAGCACAGAAGAGAAACACAATCACAACTCCTTGCTTTGCCATTCGCTCTCCCCCTCCCACCACTAAAATGTAACCTCCTTGAGAGTAGGGCTCGGTCCTGGCTACCGATGTCTGCATAGCAGGAGGCCTGCTACACGGGAGAGGTTAGCAACTGTGGGCTGACTGTGAGTGAACGCCGCTCAGTCCC